ATTATCACACTTTAAATAGGTAACCCACTTTCTGCAGAGAGCGGCAAGGACATCTGCAGACTCATGGTATCAGGGTCTGAATGTCAGCTGTGTTGCAGGTGTCAATCATTCTACTCTTTTAAACATAAGCTTTTTAAAACACACTAGCTCGTTTTTAATGCACGTATTTTTTTTTGCTCAATAATTTAAACTGTACCAGTTGTTCCGAGCTCATTTTAATGCATGTTTATAGCAGCAGGCACGGCAAGTGTAATCTTCAGAAGCCCTGAAAGGCAAGGTAAATGTTTTTTGCCNACTTGCATCTCAGCGCTTGTTTTCACAGATGAATAAAGAAATGAGATAAAAAAAGGTCTTAAAGTGACAGTAACACGTAGATCTCTGCTTTCTTTAATCAAAACTAGAGGCTAGATGTGTCGAAACAGTTGCACCAACCAGCTCTGGTTACATTTCCTGTTCTGTTGGGTAAACCCAGTCATACAGCATGTGGTTCCAACAACAACAACAACAACAGCTGATGAGGCGTGGAAGAAGCCAACAGGAAGAAGTGATGATAAAGAGCAACAAGGGGAAAAAAAGAGAAAGGAAAAAGTGAGTTAAAAATACGACAGAAATAAGGAATGGAAACAATGACAAAGAGAGAAGGAGAAGTGTCGTGTTCAAGCTGGCTGGGATACAACACACCAGAATATTACTGACAGACACCACGGGAGGAAATGCACGCCATTACACTGGCTACCAACAGACAGATCAATACTGCAGGGCAGGAAGAGAGGGAGAGCCGGCTGGTCAGAAGCAGAGGCAGAAGACTGTGTTCCTGAAGCTCAGAGAACAGAGGTGACACTGAGAAAACAGAGCGTGAATGAAGAAACTGACTCCAGTATCTCAGTGTCCGCCTGGATCCACGACTCTGGTGCTTCATGGTCTGAGTTTGGGCAGCAGCTGCAAGTTTTGGCCTGCAGCGTTCAAAGTCTAATAAATATCATGTCAGCTAAAATATAATAATATCGCAGGTGTACTTTTATGCTTTAAAAAGGAACGGTTCACGGTTCTCCTGCAGAGTCAGATTAGACGATCACTGCAACATGGGAGTAACCTCCAGCAGCTGGTTAGCTTATCTTAGCTTAGCATACAGACTGGAAACACACACACACACACACACACACACACACACACACACACACACAGACTCTCATTATGACTTGCACCATCTTTGGTACAATCTCTAATGACACATATATATATATATATATATATATACACACACACACTATAAATACTCATAGACTTTCTTTTTTAAATAAAAACAAATGAACATGTTCTTTAAGGTTATTATTTTCTCTGTTTTCAAGAAACAAAAACAGCCGATTTAGTTGAATATGAAAATAAAGAGCCAGATGTATAAATCATTATTATACTGTGCGTTTCTTACAGTCTCGTCACTGAGGGAAGCTTCCCTGCCCGCTGAGTTATTATGACTGGGCTCCTCTGGCTGAGGTTATTACATCAGCAGGACTGAGTGGATGGAGGGATGAGGACATGGGTGGAGAAGTGGGAGGGTGGATGGACTGGTCAGAAGGGTCCTTGTGGGAGGACTGACGCAAACACAGGAAGTACCCACAACTACGTGGGAAGTGCTTCATCATCACTTCAACCGTTTCTACCTCACTGCCCATCCCTCCCTTTGTATCTCCTCAATGGAAGATGTAAGGAGCTCTTACAGCCAGTTCTGGACATTATAACAAACATCAGAGAAGAAGCTTTATAGATTCAGATCCAGTCATCGTTTTTTGTATGTTCACACGATGAGAAACATATTTAACAGGTCAACATGAATCTAATCATTTACCGCTGGCTGCATCTATTCAAAGAGTCTCTGTTCACCATAAAACTACAAACACTAACATCTGTTTCAGCTGCAAACCACGACATAAACGCAGCCTCTCACGACGCCCACCATCAGTCAGGAACAAGCAGCACATCTCTGTGTGCAGAAAACAACTAAACATCTCTAATGCCAGTAATGACAGGAAGCTCTGAAAAACACACAGCTTCATATTCTGCCTCCGGCGACGCGTGTTTGTTTCCAAAAACACATTTCTTTAAAAATCCACGAGGGTGTGAAGGAGGACGAGCCAGGAATATGTGATCTGAGACTGAGCTGAGTGGATACTGGTGCATCGTCCTGTATGTGTGACAGTGTACAGACAGTATGGCCTTTCAGACTCAGCACAATGCACTCTTATCTACTAGGTCATACTTCATACTTTCACCAGGCCTCAAACACAACGTGGTGTGTTTGAATGACGTAGTCTCGTAAAGTCTATTCTTAGAAATGAATGAAACTGCAGTTTTACATCCAGCTCTCCACAGCCTCAGTGTGCTTTTGATTTCGACAAATCACGCCACATGATCACTGACTGACCACTTATTACAAAGCAGTGTGGGTCATCAGTCACATGACCACATAGGAGCAGTGTCTTATAAACATTAAAGTATAAAAAAATATTCTAGAGACTCAATATCAGAACAGTAACAGAAGTATCTGCAGGAGTTTATGTACTGCTGATTGGACATTGGCATGAATAAGCAGGTGCTCAAGAGTTCCTAATAAAGTGCTCTTTGAGTGTATCACATTATATTATCATTAAACTTATTATAGACCACTTTGATGAAAATCAAGTATTTAATCTTGTTACCATCCATATCATGTTTCTTATATGATGAAAGAAATAATCAGTCAACACCACGACTGAGTGTTTCCAGCTTGAACCACAAATAAACGATGAAAGATGCTAACTACGCTAACCGTTCTGAAGAGATGCTGACTAGACTAACTTGATTTTTTTCTTCTTCTTCACTATTGATGTGTGAAAACCAAGTTAAATATGAATCAGAGCAGAGGATTTTTTACAGAGTTTAAAACATGTCTGGAGGAACTTTAAAGCAGAAAATTTAAAAAAAAAGAAAACTTACCTGGACGTCGTAAAGTGCCACAATGTTTTCATGCTGCAGCTCCTGAGTAAACACAGAAAAACAAGATTAGCAGGAGCTTTAAGTCTTCCTCAGCAGCTGACGGGATCACCTCCATTGATATCTCTGTCAGGGAGGTCGAGGCTCCACTGTCAGAGGTGCCGACTCACACAGGGTCAGTCATTCTTTAAGCACACACAGGAGATAAGTGAGAGGCAATTAAGTGTGGCGCTGACCTTCAGGATTTTGATTTCCTTGCCAAGAAGAATCTGGGACTTGGACAGGTTCTTCTTATTGATGCACTTGATGGCCACCTCCCAGTCGGTCTTCTGTGGAGCACAGAGCAGGACAAGGATTCAAATCCAGTACATGTGTTTCATTCTGTGATCCTTCACAAACAATATCAAACAGCATCTAATTCCAGTCTTTGGCACAGACATCAATCTGCTTCTTCTTATTTCCTACATTTACCAAACTGACATTCATCAGCCACTACAGGAAGTGCACCAACTAGCTGTCAATTAAAGGAGACCATCTAGTCTTGCAGACGCAGCTGGGTCCAGCTTTCCCTCAGGAAACTGTTGAGTCAAGGTGGTGAACCACCGGAGGTCTCATCCCGCCATTAGTGAACTTAACAGACAGCTTAACAGTTACATTTATTAAATATGAGCCATTAACAGAGGCGCAAACCAGGCAAATGTTTGGGGTCCCTGAAGGGGTAAAGGGCCCCGATGGCCCCTCATATTGGCACATTTTGCAATGGCAACTATAAAGCCCCTTAAACACCCCCATAAAGACACTGTACAGTGAACTGCTGCAGCCCTAAACCTCCCGAGGTGGGGCCCCTGATGAGGAGTGATGTAGCTAGTGTCTAACATAGACTGCATGTGAGGCGTTCAGGGAACATTGGTAACTTATATCATCTAACAGTCTGCATGTGAGACATTTAGGGAACATCCAGTTTGTGCTTTGTAAAATACCAGCTGTGCTCTTTTCCCCTGACGTTTAATGTTTTGTTTTACACAATTACTTTTCTGTAATTCTTATTTTACATGTGTTTTTTTTTCCTGACATGATGCATGTGGCATCCAATGGGTTTTCACCAGATTACCCAGCCCTTCTTTTTTAAAACAATGTGACATTTAAAAAAGACCAGAGCAGAATATATGTGAGTGTGTGTGTGTGTGTGTGTGTGTGTGTGTGTGTGTGTGTGTGTGTGTGTGTGTGTGTGTGTGTGTGTGTGTGTGTGTGTGTGTGTGTGTGTGTGTCCTAAAAGCCAAGCTCAATTGCCATAAGCTGCATTGTCAGCATCACTGTGTAAGAGATGGCTGGAAGGATGGAGGAAATTTTAGCTGTCCCAGTAACACTGGGTCTCTTGAGTTTCTTCTGCGCTGAATGACACGCTGAATGACGAGGCACTCGGATGACAGCAGCCAGCCTACTTACACTAAAAGCTAAGAGAGGAGGGGGTTGGGGCTGATATAATATTTCCAGATGAGCTCCTGGAGCGAGTATAAAAAGACTTCTGGAGCTCACGTGAGCTGGACGGCCCTCAGGACATGCAAACACCCGGCAGAAATAAACCCAGCAGAGTCCCAGACTGTTTCTGTGCCCTTGAGAAAAAACACACAGACTGTACTGTGGTCAAATGAAGTCAACATGGAGAGTGAGACAGGAAGGAAAGGAAGGAATTCTGTGTATAAAAAGAACCGCTTTCCAAATGGATCTAGGTTAATAGGAGATGTTCTTGCTCTGCGGGTGCGCTCCGCCTGGAGGCTGACACGGCTAACCGAGCTGTATCCATCCCCAGTTCACTGACAACCCGCTCAGCCGAGTGCGACTGAGCTGCTGAACACAGAAAAAGTTAATAAATAAAAAGTGACCCCGCTGGCCATCGTGCAACGCTGGGAGGTGAGAGGGAAGGAGGTGGCTCGGTGGAGCGCCACATGATTGAGGAGTTAAAGGGATTATTCGTGGGGTTGTGTGAGGTCGTCATGTATAGTCAGTGTGTTACCTGCAGTAGATTCAGTTTAGGAGTGAAGAAGTGTCTAAAACATGTTATTTTCTGCTGGCCCTGCCCACAGCAGCTCATCACTCTGCTAGTGTACCGGTGCTCCTGCCGTCTCTTATAACTGGCAGCGCACTGATCTGAATCTACTGCAGGTAATGTACCAACTATGCATGATTACCTCACACAACCCCACGTCAGATAACCCAAACTGTCCCTTTAAGCAGTGTGGAGTGAGGCAGGATCCTCTGCTCAGAGTCATTCTTCTGCACGCTCTCATTTTCCAGAATAAAGCGTGATCCCATTTATGAATCACAGCCGATTATAGAGGTGTGAGCAACACACAGAGAGATTAGTATCAGCAGCACTGCAGACTGACGCTGGAGCTGTTGTAACAGGACCGTGACACCAAAGGAGCATGAACATCATTATATATCAAATATCTTTTATCACATAAGAACCTGAAAAATGTTTGAATATGCTCGTCTAGAGACTTTGCATGTATGTGAACACATCAGAAAGAAATGATGAAGTTTAACTTTGGAGTAACGTGAATAACGTGAGCTCCAGTGGAAAGGTACCTGCTGTCAATATAAAGACGGAGGGAAGCAGGAAAAAAAAGCAGAGACCAACATTTTTGTTTTAGCTCAGTATTTGTCCTGATGTTGCTGTGGCTGTTTTCTGTCAGGGCTGTATTTACACTGCAAGCTATTTGTGTCGTAACAAAAGAGCGCAGCCTGAGTTCAGGCATATTAACAGCACTTCTGGCTGATACTGTTTGAGGTTACACTGGTTTAGGATTGGGTTTATATCAATATTATGTAACTTATGTTTTGTTTATTCTGTTTGTATTTTGTGAGTTCATAAAAAAAAAAAACCAAATCATATAATACTGACATGCTTCACAATCACAACCGCTCCTTTTCTCTGATTACATCACTGTAAACTGAACTATATTAATTGATGAATTGATAATGTATTTGGCAGATTGACCGACAGTGAAATTAAATGTCAGCTGCAGCTTCACTGTGCATCCTTTTACATTCCTGATGATTCACACTAGTGCTGCACAATTAAACGCCAGCACCATCAGTGTTGTGGTGCTGGAGACGCCTCGACCTGCAAATCATATTCTCCAGATGTAAAAGGGACAAAAATCACATAATCATTCTTACATTTCTTTCAGTAAAAAAGAAAATGAATAAAACTGAAATAATGACTCATGTTGCAAAATCTGCCAAAATAATTGCTATATGATTTATTTTTTCTGCATATCGTGCAGCCCTAATTCACACTGAACACATCTCACACACATGCTGTCCTGTGATGCAACTTGTGTCTGAGAGCTGTACATGTTTATGAAGAGTTGTAGAAATCTGTGAGGATGTAAACTAATTAAATTTTGACATAAAACCTACATTATTAATTACAATTCCAGAATTTACGTTCTTTTTGTTTGGCAGCGGTTATTAAATACTGAGAAACACGACTTTGAACACAAATAGCCGATTGTCCTGCCTCATCTCCACTGCATAACAACACGATATTACAGTGTAACCTGAGCCCAGATAGAAACATCCAACAACACGGCCCAGTGCAGGTGGCTCTAACCTTCCTGTGGATCCAAGGTGGAAATAATCCTATAAATAGGCTAAATGGCATCATGCAGATGATAGGACTTAAACAGTAAATACATTGATCACATGCCAGCTCTGTTTTAATACGACAGGGTGGCAGCATGTGAGTTAGTGGATGCTCAAGCTGTGCACGTGTGACCCGGAGTGATTGTTTGCAGGTTGTAGATTCATGTAGAGGCAGATAGAAGCTGCAGCAGGGAGGGGGGGTGCTGTAATGTGGCTTTCATTGAGGAGTTCAGGACCATCTGTCTCACACCAGCGGCAATGGGGGCAACATGATGTCATCTCCTGCATCTAAACAAACCCACCATCTTAGTGTCCTGTGACAGAAACACACCACGAGTCAAACGTAATGAATTAATTGAATTTCTGAGTTTTACACTAATGAACTAACAGGTTCCAGTGCTTCAGTCTGAATGGAGCGTGTGCAGCTCTTACATAAGGAGAGCTTGTGTCCTTAAAACAGCACAAAAAGGGGGAAAACGCTGCAGCCGATCCTCCCTCCTCCTCCTCCTGCCTCAGTACGTCAGCAAGTCATTCACTGCTGCCTGACTGCGTTTCATGAATGAACCAAACCACATATATATAAATACACTTCCACAAACAACATCAGGCAGGTGGAATGACACTGAAATCACCTGTTACAGCAGGACTGTGCATTACATCAGCCTGGATGGAGATGATTGGTCATAAAAACAGCTGTAAATATTACCAACACCACCACCCCCCAAAATAAGGTGACAGCCCACATATGGTGCTGCAGAACTGCATCCTGCACTGACCCAGATTTCCAAATGAAGATGGGGAATGAAGGAAGGGAAGAAGCTTTTTATTTACCTTCCTGTGTCTCCCTTTGAACACCACAGCAAATGCTCCATGACCAACCAGGTCTTTTCTGCTGTACTCGAAATCTCCCACCGTCTCCATCGTGGCGGGGCCGATGGTCCAGCTGGTGGATAAGCCTTGAATGTTGCTCTCCTCCGGGGCAAATTATCCACTCAGTCCTGGCGATGCTGCTTCTTTGCTAGCTGCGGGTTTATTTCATGACAAGCTGCCTTATTGCATAAATAAGAGATGCAGTCGGGACATGATGCATTCACGCGCACTCCAAGTGGGTTGGGATGTTTGTAATATCACACAGAGCGGACTGCTCTGAGCATGGCTAGCGACGATTCTGTGCTAAAGTGTTATCAGTGCCAGCTGTCAGTCTTTGACCCAGTTGGATAGCTGCAGTCCCGCTTTGCTCTGCTCTCCGAGGAGGCTCACTAACACACTGCGTGTCCCCCGGTCACCTAACCTGATGAGAGGGACAGTCTACATGATGCCAAGCCTGCTGGACATGACCATGCAAACAGTGGAGCTGGCTGCAGACACCGAGCTATCTGTTAGCCCGACTGTGACATAAACCTGTGGCTACACCTAGCGCCATAGCTGCTGCCCGGAGCAAGTCTCGTTAGCAAACATGCTAACAATAACATTAGCTAACAAAATACTGTTAGCCGGTTTGGTGACACTGAATGATTTAACCTGCGTGTGTCTGCAATATATAAGCTACAGCAACATATGAAGCTAGCTAACATCAGCGAGCGAGCTAGCCTCAATCTGAAGGATGCAGCAGATGTCAACACAGAGCTGTCGTAGATCTGAAGGCGTTTTAGTCCTTATTTGTCTTCATGTCCGAGTCCATGAGACACATCTGTCCTCCCGAAAAACACTGACGTTTCCCGCGGCGAGCGTTAATTTCAGCCGCGAGACATTTAAAGAACACTTTGTTGTTTCCTCCGTCAGGTCTGAAGTGACAGCTAACGTTAGCACCGGGAGCAGCTGCCGCCTTCCGTTAAACTGTCCTCCGCATTAAGACACTGTCCGTTAACCGGTTAATATAAACGGCAGAGTTTTTAAATCACTGTCCAGCTCTGTCGCATCAGAACACACAGCGTCCTCTGCTCCTGACGTTCACCTAAACAATACTGACAACTAGTGCCGTGCTCCTGCTTTATACGCTATCACTCCGCGGAGGCCAGCCTCAGTCTCTCCTTCCGCTGCAAGGGTTAGTCCGGCTAATGGAGCTTTGAGGACCGCTTGAGAAAACATTACATAATTATAAATATATAAATAAATAAATGCATTTTGGTAATGAAAAATGCTTTTTCAATATTTTTAAATTGATTTCTTTGTTATTTTTTTATTTTTACATTTATTCATTTTTTTATCTTATATTTATGAATGTATTCAATTATTTAGTTCTATATTTATTCATTTATGTATATATATATATATATACATATAAATATATGTATAATATATGTATATATATATGTACTTGTTATTTTTTTCTGTCCATCATATATGATAATATATAATAACCAGAATGTTTATGTAACAGTAATATGCATGTTTGGTCAAAGGTGTTTGACTCATGTGTGCACAGGAGTCTGAAAATGGAGGAACTGTTTTAGCTTGACTTTAGTTCAAATCATTAAATTGATCTAAATGAATTTGGAGTGTATTTGGATACACACTACATGAATGTATCCGAGGAACTCTTGAGTTGTATCATTTATATTTCATATATTTACAACTGTATTATTACTTTTTTAATCTTTTGGAACAAAGAGAATTAAAGTGAAACAGGAGGAAACGTCTGTCAACCTGCCCTGATGGTGTATTTCAATGTAGTTTTGATGTTGTGACATGATAAACATAAAACACAGGTCCTGATTCTGACAAAGAAATAACACAGTGTATGTCAGAACATTATTCAGGCTGTGAGTAGATAATGACTACACAGCATATATATATATATATATATATATATATAAAACATACAGGGGAGTGAGTTTATTGCTCAACTGTATTCTAAGGTGTGCACACTGTGTTTAGATATGACGCCCTCTGGTGGTGGAAAACATGACTAGCAGCAACAATGACAAAACCTTTACAAAGAGACACATTTATACCTTAACCTTTCTAAATGTTTTAATGTGACTTCCTGATAAAAAATACAACAAACCAGGGTTCACTTATTAAAAGTGTTCATTCTGGATGGTTTAACAGTGGTAATGTCTCCCCAACAATAATAGTGTTCTGCAGTAGGACTCACACTCACTTCAGATGTTTGTATCACATACAATCAGAAATGTAGAAAAATATCCTCTAAAATCAGAAAAAATGAAACAGGTGCAGTCTGGAGATGTCTCAGTTCTTCTTCTTGCTCTTGGCTGATGTTTGTCCAGATGTGGAGGTGGTGCTGTATGTGGAGGACAGCAGCATGGTGAGGAGCAGCAGCACAGGGACCAGCAGGTAGGGAGCGTATATGGAGACCAGCAGCCAGCGCTCCTGCAGGGTCTGGGGCCCGGGGTGAGGTTTCATAGGGAACTGGTGGAAGAGGATGTGGGCCAGGATCGGGACCAGCGTGGTGGCCACATGGGTGGAATAGATGATGGCAGGAGTCCTGATCCACTTACAGCCACCTGACAGTAAACACACTGAGAGATCAACACCTGCTACAGGCTGCAGGACACGTTGGAAAAAAGTAGTTCCAACAACAACACAATGATAACAGTGAAGTCTTTTCATTATCCAGAATAAGATGGGAAATATATATATTTTTAATTCTGTGGACTTGAAGTTTAATTCAACCAAACTCAATTTAATTTCAAAGAAAAGGGTTTAATAGGCATTCACAACTGGGTGAAATGAATAAAAATGTGTTCTAAATAAAATGTATTCTTTTTATTGCCTAAAAAAATGTCCCATACTGCAGCTTTAAATCCTCTATCCTCTACACCTGTTCTGAGTTTCTTATGTAATTACAGTAAAAATCCAGCAGGGGTCAGGTGAGAACTGTAGTTCGTAGTGGACAGAAATTAAGTCTAATTTAATGCGGGATCATTAACTGTTCAAGTGCATCAGAAATATATTTTCAGACCTTATTCAGGTCTCACTGTGGTTCAGCAAGACTTTGTCAGAGAACAGAGATCAGCTGCTAGCTCTGAATGTTTAACAGAAACTGTGAAAGAGAGAAAACATAAGTCTACTCTGTGAGGATATGGTATTTAATTAGATTAAGAAATAGATGCCGAATTCATTTATTGGTTGTATGAAATTATAACAATCTATTAATATTTACATGCACGTACTTCCTGTGTAACGCCAGGCAGTAACTGTTCACTGACCTTTTAGAAAAGCGTAAGCTGCGACGGGAAAGAAAGGCGTCTGAAACAGAGCCTCACACAGGATGAAGGACCTGAACCACTGAGGAGGATCCAGGACCATGGGGTCTTTGAACGCCTCACCGTACCACCGCAAGAGATCCCTCAGCTGCAGGAGACACAGATCAGACTGAGACACATGGAGGTTACACCGTCAGGAGGAGGCGGCTGCAGTGTGTTCACTCACCGGCTGTGGGTACACATGTCCGGGCAGCAGCGCCTGGAGGTCAATACACAACGTGATGGGGATGTGAGAGGCGAAGTAGAAGAAGAAGATGATCTCTAACACACGGAGACTCATGGTGTCGGAGTCACTCACTGTGAATGACAGGTAATCACAAACTGGGACCGAGTTCTCCGCTTCACTGTGGCGTAAAAACGCGTGTTCCCAGCGTGGAGCTCATTGGCTGACAGAGGGAGAAGGGGGCGTGTCCAGGAGCAGCACCACTCGGAGGAATTCACTGGAGGAGACCGCTCCCGGTGTTACGGCGACTTTTGTGTGCCTGCGCACATGCCCGTGACGGGGACGCGCGCAGCTGAAGCGGAAACTAGCAGACGCTGTAATGATTTTAAAGCTTGAAAATAATGCAATTTTTTTTAAATAAAAAAAAAAAAAAATTTCAAGTTATCTTAAAATCATTACACCGTCCAGTAGCTTCCGCTTTACTTGTGCGCGCTCCCGTGACAGGATGTACAGTGAACACGCTGCTGTTTGTTCTCCTCGAAAATATCAAAATTACTTGAATAAAATATTTTTCATAAACATGTGAAACTCCAAACTCTCACCCTTTTATTATTTTAATTTTTTTTTTATTTTAATTTTTTTTCCTCTCAGCGTTCATTACGGAAGAGGATTCCGTGAATTTTATTTTTATTTTATTTTATTTAAATTAGGGTCACATGAGGAAAAATAAATAAATAAATTTAGATTTCTAAAAAAAATTTAAATAAAATTAAATTAAAATAAAATTCACGGAATCCTCTTCCGTAGTTCATGTATTTGTATTTTCTACATAATCTCTATTATGCCCTATAATGTGCTGCCAATATTTATTTGGTTCACTGATATTTTGAGGAAAAATAATAATGAAAATCAATAATAAAACAAAAAACTGGAATTTAAAATATAACAGTAAATAATAAAATAATTATATTATTACCATATTATTAACATGTTTGGGGGGTTTTGTGCTGCTCTACATCATTGTAGTGAAAAAGTAGAATTTACACATTGCATATAAAAATTTATATTTTATTTGAGTTAGTAAAAATAGGATAAAAAACAAAGAAAAACCAAAGTTAAAAAATCACATGAAAGTATATTATTTTTATCATCCATAAAACATTATGCTGTTTTCCATTTGTATTTTTTTCTTCTGATCCTCTCACAGCTGCCATCTCTCAGACAGCACAAAACGTTGCGTGTATGTAAATGTACAGGGAACAGTTTGATCTGTTGCTGCAGTGGATTTGTTTAAATGGGATTTGTATCGTCCACGGTGATGCTGGCAGCTCGGAGACATTTGGCTTCATGATACTCGGTGTCTTCCTTCACCATAAGATGTGGATTCACAACGTCCACATAATCCTGCAGAGAAGAAGAAGACAGATTTTAATTCAACCACAGAAACAAAACATAACTACAATCTAGTGTTTGTCCAAAACTGTGATGTAACATGTTTGTTGTCTCTCAGTCTGTCCTCACTAACATCCACTCAGACACAGGAAGTCATGTGTCATATTGACATACGTGTTAACATTCAAACTTTAAATGTAAAAATAGAGAGATAGAATTTTTTTATTACCAAAATGTTTTTATGTTTATTATTTTTATTAAGGTAAAACAGTTTATTATTTGATATATATAAGTTCCACCTGTTCATATTAAACACTCACTGACATGATGTTTCTGTGTTTGTATGTATATTTATATATTTATATATTTATTTCTGTATTTCTAAATGTATTTATTTATGTGTTAATTAATTAATTAATTCATTTATTTATTTATTTATGCATTTATTTATTTTTACATGTATTTATTTATTTATTCATACATTTATTTATTTTATTTATTTATTAGTATTTATTAGTAGGCGGTCCTTCCTCAGTGTAAAGCTGAATTTGGTTAAAGCAGTGCAATCAAGGTCCGAGGTTTATTCTGACTCAATTAATGACATAATCCTTAAAATATCAAAAATCAATAATGTAAAGTATTGAAATTAGTTTATCCAGCTGTTTCTTACCGCGTCATTCTCCATGACGTCCTCCAACATCTGGATGATGTCTGTGAAGGAGGGCCTCAGGGTGTAGGGCTCCTGCCAACAGTCTCGCATGATGTGAAGTCTGAGGAGCAACAAACATATATAATATACAGCTGGGGACATGAAATAATCTGAACCTGTTTCAAAAGTTAGATTCATATTTTGAGGGATGTTTCATTGATTGATGATGATTAATGATTGATCAGTCTCTAATATCACAGAGGTTTCTGCCTCTGAGTGTTCAGATTTACAGTGAGGGAAACACTGCTGGAATATCACATTATGATAATAAAATATTATTTGTGCACAAAAATCCAAAGACGCAGCTGTTATTTATCACAATACAGCCCAGAGAGTGTTCAGCCAACTTAAGACAACGTGTCAAATTTAGCTTTTTGAAAAGTAAATGAAACAAAATCTAATAAATTATTATTATTCTTGAGTTTTAATTGAGATAGTTTTACTCACATCTCCGGTCTGCAGCCTTCAGGGTTCGTGTTTTTATGGCCGATACAGATGTGGTACACCACAGCCTCGGAGGTCTCCAGGTCTGGGTACGGCAAAGTTCCTGAAAATGTACATTTCAAAATAAAATACACTGACGCGACAGTTCACTTTTTTGCTGAGGCTCTTTATGACATTTATACTAACAAGTTTTAATTTAATTCTCTTAATCATTTCATAAGAATAAGCCTGTGTGTTCTGAGGCCATCATCATGTTTAGACTCCACCAAGACCAAGATCACTGATCTGGAGATGAGTTCCTCACTCCTACGTAAATACATAAGTAAATTATGAGGTAACATCTGTTGGTTCTGAGTGTGTGACAGGGATGATGAATAAAGACCAGAACCAGCCAGTCTGATCTTTACCTGACATCAGTCTCACACGTCACAGCTGCCGTTACCTGAGTGACCGACTCACCAAACATCTGCATCTCCCACAGCACGATGCCGAACGCCCACACGTCTCCCTTGAAGCTGTAGTAGTTGTTCTTGAAGTACTCAGGTGGATACCAGCGCAGAGGAACCCGCTGCTGCAGCAGGGAACGGAAAAACTGCTCCAGTCTGAGGCTTTACAAACTGACGAGCAGCTCGTTACAACCAGAACAACAACAACAACAACCA